ACAGGCCGGCATCGGTTACGCATACTCGCCCACAATGGGAGACATGGACCGCTTCCAGAACGACCACCGGTTCCCGCAGGGACAGCAGTACCAGTCGGAGGAGCAGTGGCAGCAACAGCAGCAGCAGTTCCACCAGCAGCAACAGCAGCAGCCGCAGCTCCCTTACCAGCAGCACCCTCACCACCAGCCTCCTCACCAGGCTCACCTCCCCCAGCACCCCGAGAACGCAGTGTCGCCTCAGAGGCCCATGCCTCCTCCCGGCGTCGAGTTCAACCCGACGGGATGGGCGCCCCAGAGGCCTGCCCGCTACAGCGCCCAGTCCTTCTTCACAAACGAGACGCCCATGCCCTCGAGGCCCGTCTCGCCCTCCATGACTCCCGGCCGCATGACGCCTTCGGACGGGCTGCAGCCGCCGCCCAAGAACGTCTTTGACTCGTGGCCGCCGAGCCCAATGGTATGTCTCTCGCTCTATCCGTCTAAAACTCGTCTCTGACATGTGCCTCTAGGCCCAGAGCCAGGTCAGCCTCGCCGCCCTCCTCCCCGGGTCCCCAGGCTTCTCCTCCTCGGACAAGACGCTCGTGGACCGCGAGGCCATCACCCACCTCCACGACCGCGACGACGCCGAGATCTGGAAGGGCTGGAAGCGCCACGTCTATAAGCTCACCCCGCTGCTCACCCTCATCGCCATGCTCAGCTACGTCGCCTACCTCACCCTCCGCGTCTACTGCGTCGTCGCCGCCCAGCGCTCCGCCCGCACCGTCTACGCCGCCGCCTGGGTCTTTATCGCCGTCGAGGTCGCCGTCGCCATTCCCTCCATCATGCACAACATCTGGACAATGTGGGCCCTCAAGCGCCGCAACCGCCCCAGACTCCGCCTCCACGGCGATGAGGTGCCCCTCGTCGACGTCTTCATCACCTGCTGCGGCGAGGACGACGACGTCGTCATGGACACCATCCGCGCCGCCTGCGACCTCGACTACCCCCAGGAGCGTTACCGCGTCGTCGTCCTCGACGATGGCCAGTCCGCCGGCCTCGAGAGCTCAGTCTCCGGCCTCTCCGCCATCCACCCCAACGTCTACTACATGGCCCGCGAGAAGATCCCCGGAAAGCCTCACCACTTCAAGGCCGGTAACCTCAACTACGGCCTCGACGCCGTCCACCGCCTCCCCGGCGGTGCCGGCCAGTTCATGGCTGCTCTCGACGCCGACATGATTCCCGAGCGCGAGTGGCTGCGTGCCGTCCTCCCTCACCTCCTCGTCGACCCCAAGATGGCCCTCGCCTGCCCGCCCCAGCTCTTCTACAACACCCCGGCCTCGGATCCCCTCGCCCAGAGTCTCGACTTCTTCGTCCACGTCATCGAGCCCATCAAGGACGCCATGGGTGTGGCCTGGTGCACCGGCTCCGGCTACGTCGTCCGCCGCGAGGCCCTCGATGAGATAGGCAACTTCCCCCTCGGCTCTCTCGCCGAGGACGTCGCCACCTCCACTCTGATGCTCGGTCGCGGCTGGAAGACGGCCTACGTCCACGAGCCTCTTCAGTTCGGCACCGTCCCTGAGGATTTCGGCGGCCACCTCAAGCAGCGCACCCGCTGGGCCATCGGCACCGTCGACACCTCCTTCAAGCTCAAGTTCTGCCTCTGGGGCGACAAGGTGAAGGAGATGACTTTCGCCCAGCGCTTCTCCGGCTTCCTCTACGCCTCTCTCAGCCTGTACACCATCCTCCTCACCATCTCCCTCTTCGCCATCCCCATCATCCTGGTCATGGGCCGCCCCCTCGTCGCCTACGCCGACAACACCCAGTTCAAGTGGCTCATCCGCGCTGCCTTCCTCGCCGTCATGACCAACCGCATGTGCGAGTTCGCCCTCTTCATCCCCGCCGGCTACCACACCGGACAGCGCGGCTCCCGCTACCAGCTCTGGATGGCCCCCTACATCGCCCTCTGCATCGTCCGCTCCTTCATCCTGCCCACCTGGCTCGGCGGCCAGACCCAGGCCTTCAAGCCCACCGGCTCCCTCGGCTCCGCCCTCAACGAGCGCGACGCCGCCAACCGCAAGCACATGCCCCGCCGCCTCTGGGCCATCCTCGTCAACTACATGGCCAGCTTCCACCTCGCCTTTGTCTACATGACCCTAACCGGTGTCTGCCTGACGACTTTCCGCTGCTTCGTGCGCAACAAGAACTGGATCCCCATCCTGAAGTGCCTCGTCACCCACGCCTTCTGGCCGCCCCTGACCTTCATCTTCATCTGCTCCTCGCTCTGGACGCCCATCGCCTACGCCATCGACCCCCCTACCGTCCCGGACCGCGAGTTCCTGCTCGACCGCGACCCAAAGACGGCCGTGGCCCACCCGACCGCCAAGAGCAAGAAGATCGCCTTCGGTGGCCAGGCCGCCTGGTTCGAGCTCGAGTACACCGTGACCACCGTCTGGACGGCCCTGGTCTTTGCCGCCTCCTTCGTCCTGTTCTAGGCGGAGGTGGTTATAGGTGCCTAGGTGCCTGGGGGCAAGTTCCCCGACGATGAAGTCAATGTAATTTTCCTACTTGTCATGAGATGCGCAACGCAACGCTCTCGACCTGCATGTCATAGAAACCATCATGGGCGTTTTTCTTCTTCTTTCTTTCTGGGCTTTAGAACGGCGGCCTGCGCCGGGTACCATGTACGAAACTCGAGATTGGACGGCCACCCGGGGTATACAAGTACATAATGTCTGGTATCGGTACGAATAGAAACGCGATATCAATGACCCCGGCCTCGAGGTGATTACTTGCACGCTGGACGCACAGGTGGCACATCGACGGCCCCGTTGACCTCGGCGAACGGGTCGTTCGTTGGGTCCATTACGCGGATGTACTCGAGTCCCTGGGCCGCCCTAGCAGCGACATCTTCACCAAAAACGTCCGCCACGAAGGCAAAGGCAGCGTCGATACCGGCCGCCACGCCGCTCGACGTGTAGATGTTCCCGTCCACGATCCAGCGCGCCTTTGCGATCCAGTTGGTCTTTGGTCCATGGACCACCGTCTCGTACCACGCCCACTTGTTCGTCGTGGCGTTACGGCCGTCGAGCAGCCCCGCCTGCGCGAGGAGGCCCGCTCCTGTGCAGATGGACAGCACGTACTGCAGGCTCGGGTAGACGTCGCGGAGGTACCCGAGGAGAGCGGCCCGGTGCTCAGCCGACAAAGCACGGTTGCCGAGACCGCCGGGGACGAAGAGCACGTCGAGATCCGTTGGCGGGTTGGCAAAAGTGTGCGTCGGCACGAGCGAGGTCGAGAAGGTCGAACCGATACGAGCCTGCGGGGGAGCAAGAGACGAGACGGGGTCGAGACTGTAGGCGATGGTGGTGAGATTTAAGGGCCGCTGGATAGACGTGGAGAAGAGAGTCTCAATGGACCCGGCGACCTCGATGTTCTGGAAGCCGGGAAACAACACCATACCGAACCGTGAGGGGAGGGCAGCCAGTGCCACAGAGGGCAGAGCCAGGGCGAGCACGGCCCTCGGAGAGAAGGAGAGCTTCATGGCGGCACGGGCTGAAGGACCAACCATAGGAAGACAGCAGAGAGCAGGTGAAGTTGATTTATACTCCCGGCCCCCACGCCATCGACGCCCGGCGCCGTCGTACATGGATTCGAGCGATCCACCGCACCCAATCTATGCACCCCAGCCGCTGTCAGACCTTAGTGCCCGAGATGTCAACAGCAACCAAGGCAAAACGTGCTGTGCAGGGATGGCGGGAGCCAGACGATCCCCCGGGGGTTGGGTGGCGAGGATCGTGGAAGGATGGCATGGTTGTGGCCGAAAGGGGTAATCTCGCAAGTCTGGTTCCGAGAGGGCTGACGCCCACTATCTGGGTAAAATGGCCCGCCGGGCCGAGTGCGAGCCGGCCAATCGTCGGGCACGGGTAGGATGAGAATGAGTGTGAGATCCTACATCAAGACAATATTCTATCTGGGTGAGTGAGATGCGTGAGATTCATCGAGAAGGTTTGAGCTGGTTATGGTTGGAGGTTTGATGTTGCGTTGAGATGCGTGGCAATAGCCAGCACTGCCAGACGTGGTGTTTTGGCTGAGGAGAATAGCAAAAACCTCAACTACTCACCCAGCGTGAAGCTATTAGTTTTTTTTCCTCTCAAAGGCCGCATTTCGGGACATTCTCGTTTGGCACGAAGGAAGTCAAAATCAGGTGGTTGCCAAACTAACGGGAGAGCTCCTGCTCAGGAGCCGACATCAATAGCCTAACTCCCGAGGTGAGACGAACTATGACAGTATCTTAGTACAGTAAGTTAGAGGCTTTCACTATTCAAACTTGACACGTTGAAAGGATAATTAAAAGGGAGTCTTGGGGAGAGGTGGTGTGTGATCCGGAACCTGGAGTCGTACCCGGGGCCAATCAGGGATTCAAAGTTCAGCCTTCTTAAACGCACATTTTTCGCCCAGTCTCCATCGACCGGCCCCTGGTACCAATCAGGGATATCGTTCAGCGCGCCGTTGGTCTAGTGGTATGATTCTCGCTTAGGGTCCACCCTGAAGCATTGCTTGCGAGAGGTCCCGGGTTCAATCCCCGGATGGCGCCCACGTCATCAATATTTTTTGTCGCCTCGGCATGTATTGGTTCTCATCTAATTTTTTCATTCTTTTCCGTATGGGCGGACCTTGAAGGTTCGAGCCTCCTTTGAAGATGCCGAACCTCGGAGGAAGACTAGCGTGGCAAGCTTTTTGGGTGCTCAATCACAAAGTCCATCCAGCATTGAGGCCAGGGCCGATACCTCACCTCCGTGTCTAGCCAGGCACATCTTGTTGCGATTATGGAGTGCCAGAACGATCCGCCACCCATATTGAGTGGCAGTTCTCGTTTTGTGCTCACTTCCGACTGGTTCTACCTCCATTGGAGTACAGACACTCGTACCACAGATCCAACAAGACCATCCTGTACCACTTTCCCTACTCTAGATCTCGAAGGACTGCAACGCATGGATCTGGAAACCTCCAAGGGTTACTCATCAACAGGCGAGATGGCCGAGTGGTCTAAGGCGCTAGTTTCAGGAGAGGTTCTTCGGGACCATCATCCACACTACTAGTCAGAAATGGCAAGGGTTCGAATCCCTTTCTCGTCAAGCAGTGTAGCTTTTGTCTTTTTGCTATTCATCTGGTGGTATCACACGATGTCACAGTAGGAGTCATGATCTTGCCGGGCTTGATTTCATCTGGATGCTCTCGGTCCCAGAATTTGTGAGGCAATTCCGAAGTACTAGTGTCAACTGTCAAGTCCGGTCCCCATCTTGACCATCTTCGCTAGCGGTCTCTGCGGCAGCATCATGAAGGGGAGTGCTTCTGAGACGAGCACCGTCGGGATGTTCAATGTGATAGTCGTGTTTGAGATCGAGCTGTCGAATGAGCATTGGAATACCTCTACCCAACTTCCCGGTCTTCTCTGAGTAAATTCAAATTGGTCACTTCTTACGAATGTGTCTCTGAAAGAGGATCCCTCAAAATGCCCGGCAGAAATGGGACGTCTTTTGTTGCGGCGAAACAGGGGAACAGCCGATTCATGTCGATTGGACGATGAAAGGAAGCTCCTGCTTGAACTGGGTTGCTGTTGGTATCCCTTTTGGGTCACCCGGTTGTCAATGAATTTGCAAACCACGGGTATGGACTCTCAGGGGTGCTCAGGGGTCTCCAATTGTGGCTGGGCCTCTCCGCCATCGCTTACTAAGTAAGTAATCCACTAAGCCACACCCAGCTCACAAGGCAGCACGGGGCTTGATGTGGCTTGAATTGACTCCATATGTCCTCTGGATGCGTCCATCACGACCATCCACGCGTTCCGTCCACCACAGGATCCATCGATAGCATCTCTCGCGATTCAAAACGTTTCCACAAATCGACTCGATCAATCAATTCGAAGCTGGATCTCTCTTGTGTGACTCAGCGCCATCTTGCCCAAGCCACATCACGCGTACCTGTCGGTCCCTCATCGCATCAATCTTCGACGAACTTCAAGACACCTACCCGGCAGCCACCATGCCCATTCCGCGAGATGAACTCCCGCAGGTCACCGAAACAAGTATTATCGCTTGGAAAGCATGAAGCCAAGCCATCTGACGGCAACTTTGATGTTTCCTGCCGACTATACGAATTGCGAAGCATCATGACGGTCGGTCCAGTGGCTTGTACTTGCTCACGATGATCCAACTACCGTCCACGCTCTCACCGAGCTTTAGGCCATGCTTTGGTATCCGCCGGATCGATCAAACCAAGGATCAGATGGTCGCACTTCACGCTGCTGCCGACTGTGTATTCGATGCCGCTGTCGCCTCACTTCCCCCATCAAGCAGCTGACGAGTCGGGACGCACGCTTCACCTGTCCATCTCTTGCGACGCCCAACGCCGCTGGCAAGCTCGGTCTGATCTTCCCAGGCAAATTTTGGGTCCCAAAGTCGATTCCTGACCGGCTTTACTTCTTCCCATCTTCCACATCTTCAAGCGGCGCACCCACTTGGAACCTGCCTGAAATCGGCAGTCCTGCCCCAGGCACCACAGCCCACTCGACCTGCGATTTCACCACGGCCCTCAACTGATTTTTCGTACCTTCCTTCCTGCAACTCGCCTGCCATCCGCACCCTCCTGAACCAACAGAAAAAATTGCTCGTCGCCAATTTCCGGCCTGGCCTTCTCACCTCTCCCAACCCTCTCGGATGATCACAACTCTCCCGCACTCAGCTCCGGTCTCGCCCTCGCTCGCGACGCGACAATCCAGCCTGAAAGCAATCCTGGAAAATGGCGTCCGAGTCAACCAGAAACTACGGCCGGCGGTCCGGTTTATTTGGCTGCCTCGTCATGATCGACGACAAGATTTTGCCCGGTTACAAGGACTCTGTGCTTTACTACGTGGGGCACATTCCAGAGGACTGCCCGTATGCGGGTGTCCAAACCATTGCCGAGGTCGTTGAAGGCCCTCACAGCCCGAAGATACTGATGTTCAAGCACGTCTACAGCAGATACAGCGCCCCGGATGTCATCATCGGTTGGATCTCGATCCAACTATCCAAGTGCATCTCCTCACCGCAGTCCTTCGACCTAGATAAACCGGCCGCCGCGAAGAAGTTCGGCATCGACACGGTTCGAAGCAAAGCAGTCCAGGTTCGACTCACCTTTTACCAACATGACGCCATCATTTACACTTCCCGCTGCGACTGGCGGTCACTGTTGCCGGAATACTGCGCTGCAGACGTGGAAGCCGCAGCCAATGGATGGATGGGTGCTTTTCCCGACTCTATCATCACACTCGACTTGCACATGCGGGGAACTATTGACTTGCTCGGTTCTTACAGGCTCTCTCAAGGTCAAACGAAGCTCGACGGCGACCGGAAGATGTTCTTCGCCAACGATGAAGACACCGCAGTGAGCGGCTGTCCATCAATCAATACCAACACCGACCCCGAGATCCAACCCGAGCCCGCGCTGAACGCGTGGACAGACCTGGACCACAGGTTGGTCGCGGTACAGCTGTCTGCGCGAGAAGAGAATCGCTGTGAGGAGAGGCGTAGCGAGGTGCTACGATCTATCGTTCACGATGGTCACATGGCGGAGATACCATCTAGTCGACTCGGAGCGCCTGAAGGAATATCGGATTTGGACCGATATGGCTGCTCCATCCCGCGGGATGCGCACGGTCGTGGCCCCATTCTCAGATACATTGTTCGCGTCCAAGTTCGCAGCTGTTCCCGCGACCTCATCCCAGACGTCGGGGAGCGGGTCCAACTTTTTCTCGACAACGTTGGATACAAGCATCGGCCGCTCCCAGAGAACGGTGTCAAGCCTACTCAATCCACGGAGCCCAAGTTCCCATTCTGGGATGCGATTCGTATCCGCACGCCAGACGGCATGCGCCCGACGCCCAATATCTTCTTCATGGCATTCACACCACTCGAGTCGGCCTCCAGCTGGCCCGCTAGGTATGACACGCCACCAAGGCGAATCCGTGTCCCGACCGTCCCGACAACCGGCGGGATAAATACCCTGTGGAACACGATAGCTGCCGAAGAAAAGAACAAAGTCGGCGTTTCCATATCATGGACGCCCAACAGCACCACTGCCTGCAAAGAGAGGGCCGCCGTGTGCCACATGGCACGCACCAGCCATCCTCTGCAGTCCGTCCAATGGAAATATGCCGCCGCTTTCCAGACCAACGTCGCTGTTGACCTCACAGCGGCGTATTACAGCCTTGATGTCGAACAGTTTGACGAGTACGCTCGGCCTGCGCTGCGTGACGTGGCGCAGGCGCTCGCGGGCATGCTGTTCATTGAAGGCGGCCCTGGGTCTGGAAAGACGACGTTTGCCACCAAAATTGTCGCGCAGATCTGCGAGGACTCTCACGTGGATCCAGTTCTGTTCGCTATCAAGGGCAGCTAATCTGCGCAGTCTGCGACCGGCCAGGCCGATGCCCCGACCGACTCATCACAGGCTGTCACTCCAGCTGCCGATGACAGCGACGAATCTGCGGAAGACTGGGTATTTGGCCCGAAACGCAAGGTCACGGAGTTCCCGGAATTCAAGAACCCCCCGGTGTTCTGGTGCACACCTGGGCACGCCTTGTGCTATGACATCGTGCCCAAGCTCAAGAGACTCGTGGCAGGCGAAGTCGTCCACGTTTACCCCTGGGCCATGGAGATGTCAGCACTGCTGCCTCAGGATATGCCCGATGAACAATTCAACGAAGAAACGGTTCACATGTCCCCCGCTGAACGATCCATGCTCGGCGCCGCGAAAGTAAGAGACATCAGGGCTCGGGAGGACCCTCACAGTCTCGCCTCACTCGCCAAAGCCATGGCCCTCGACCCGGCCAATCCTCTCGCCAATTTTGATGAGCTTCTTGATTTTTCGCGTCTAGGAGATGAGGAAAAGCCAGCGCTAATCGAACGATCCAGGCGGCTTCGCCGTGAAATCCTGGTCGCGGCTGCCAACCAAGCCCGTGTATTGGTAGGCACACCAGTCTCGCTTGGCCAACTCGGCGACAACTTCAAGACCGACTCGAAGCTCACCATCATCGACGAGGCTGGCCGCATCCCCGAGTCATCCTTTTGGATACCGTTTCGCACTTCCCAGGCCCGGTGATCGCCATCGGCGACCAGTACCAATTTGGGCCCGTCGCCAAAAGTGCCGACATCGACCCCAAGAGGTCCAGTATCGCTGGCTGGCGCTCCGTCTTTGGACAGCAACGCAAACTGTCGGTGCTGCACCGCGCGGCGTAGTGCGCCGCGACGGCACCGCGTCTGACGATCAACCGGCGCAATCACGGAGTTATCGGCCGGTTCCCTAGGGACTCCATCTACAAGGGGCAGATGACCATCCATCCTGACCACGTACGTCACAAGGCCGCGTCGGCGGTGGCGTGCAACATCAATGACATACTGAAAGACATGGGACTGGTGCCTAGTCATGACGACTTGGTACTTGGCAACTCATGGGTGATCAGCGTCGTCGAGTCCTACGAGAAGCCCGTCGGCACGTCCTTCACCAACGAAGCTGCGGCAAACCTTGCCGCTGATTTGATCCGCCGCTTCTACCTGGCCAACATCGGCCTTGAACCAAACGCCCTTGGTTCTAGAGCCAGCATTCTGATCATCGCTCCCTATTCGACAATGGTAGCCGACATGAAGACTGTCATCGCCGCCATCCCGAAACACAGCATCGACCACTCGCTCGTGGACGTCCGCACCGTCGACTCTTCCATGAGCCACGAGGCGGACATTGTCATCATCCTGCATACACGTACCGAGCGTTTGGGCTTCACGGCGGCCGCCGACCGCATGGCGGTCATGACGACACGTGCTCGTTTCGCGCAGATCTTCATCACTGGCTCCTGGGACAAGGATGACCTTCGCGGCCGTGGCAAGCTGATGGAGGAGTTTCTCGACTCGCGCAGCGAGCACAACGCCCTGCTGCGGACGACCAGAAAAAGGGACGATCGGGGTTGGAACATGTACTGCACCAAATGCTACCGTCCAGGCCACCTCGACTACCTCTGCAAGAACAGCGGAAAGCTCAAGTGCATCGTGTGCCGGGAGAAGCATCATGTCCATGACTGTCAGAAGCCGCGTCCCGTCGGCGCAAT